GACCCTGCTTCGGCAGGAGGGTTGGACTAGATGACCCACAGAGGTCCCTTCCAACCCCTACTATTCTGTGATTCTGTGATTCTGTGATTCTCCTGGCTGGGACCTCTCAGCTTCTGGCACTGAAGTCCTGCAGCCTGTTAGGGTTTGGTTTTCAATTCCTAGAAGTTACCACCAAACCATCATTAGGTAACGGTCAACAGTTCTTTTTTTGGGGGAATTTATTTTGTCCTTTCTTTAACACATGTAGTATTTATGGCAAGAAGTTGCACAACTGAGTTATGGACTGCATGAAAAGTGCTTCCTCAGCCGGCTGCTCAAGCGTTGCGCTGGGCACCTCCTCACTCATGGTTCATGAGAAGGATGGAATAATCATTCCCTGATCACCTTCTGGGCACCGTTTGTAACTCTATAGTCCTTCCCTCTTGGTTGGAACTTCCCAGACTGGAGAACCATAGTCCATTTAATCTCCTCTAGTAATTTTTCTCTGAACTTTTACACAGCATTTTACACCTATTCGTGCTAATAAAGCGTCTCACAACTGGGCTCGAAGTTAAATACATGCGTTTTGGTTGCTCTGCACAGGCTGTAGGTATTATGGAAATATGTATTTTATGTTTTGGAGGTAGATACCATCACCAGGACATTTATGTCTATTAAGTAACCTTCTGTATCATGGCACAGAAACTCTAAAATCTAAAAAATCAGAGTAGTGTTTTAAGAATTAGTGATAAGATCAAATCAAAGTTTCTTAAATAGAATCAGAGTAATTTTTCTTAGTCATTTACTCAACTTCTGTCAGGCTGAAGGTGCCATCGGGGTTTGCCGGGTGGAATTTAGAGGCTAGAACATTTGGCCAGTCCCCAAAAAAGCCATCTGACTTGAATGGTTTTGTGAGTCCTGGGTAATACTCTGCTCTGCCCTAGTGAGGCCCCATCTGGAATACTGTGTCCAGTTCTGGGCTCCCCACTTCAAGAAAGATGAGGAGCTACTGGAGAGAGTCCAGCGGAGGGCTACGAGGATGAGGAGGGGACTGGAGCATCTCTCCTCTGAGGAAAGGCTGAGGGAGCTGGGCTTGTTTAGCGTGGAGAAGAGAAGGCTGGGAGGGGACCTTAGAAATGCTTCTAAATATCTGCAGGGTGGGTGTCAGGAGGACGGAGCCAGACTCTTTTCAGTGGTGCCCAGCAACAGGACAAGGGGCAATGAGCACAAACTGAGGCACAGGAAGTTCCATCTGAACACGAGGAAGAACTTCTTCACTCTGAGGGTGACGGAGCCCTGGCACAGGCTGCCCAGGGAGGTTGTGGAGTCTCCTTTTCTGGAGATATTCAAGACCTGTCTGGACAAGGTCCTGTGCAGCCTGCTGTAGGTGACCCTGCTTCGGCAGGGGCGTTGGACTGGGTGACCCCCAGAGGTCCCTTCTGACCCCGACCATTCTGCGATTCTGTAATACCTGGTGCAGGTATGGAAGCGATGCAGATCTGAGCTGAGTGACTTGAGGGCCTGCCCTGACCACGCACCGGGTGATTCCTTCTAGCAGCGTTTCTCAGATCTGCTGGGATCCGTGCGACAGGTTGGAGTCCTTCAGCCTGTGATGCCATGCAGCTACGAGACGTGATAATTTATTACAAGAGAACTGGTTCACGTTGCCAGCTCATTATACCTGCCCAACAGTTGATTAAACTACATTATTAGTCATTTAAAAAGTGTAGAAAAGCCAACTCCACTGATGAACTCTGGAGTAATTTCTCCTTAAAATTGCTGCTGTGCTAGAAATCATTTGGAGGTTGCACAAAGCGCGACAGGAGACCATATAGGAGGGAAAGGTGATTTATTTATTTTTTAGCTGATTTCACTCACTCGCACTCATTCTCCCATAACACATCCTCACGAGCACCGAGGTGCGTGTGTCCAAGGCGCCTGGTCAGGATTACTTCTGGTGACATAGAGGACAAGGGATGCCAGCTACTGAGTCCTCACTTTGAACCCTTGGTTCTTCTTATGTTGGTGTCAAAGTTTGGTTTTGGGCTGTGCTCCTTGCACGTGTTAGGAATTGCGGGTCCTTGAGGCCTTTTGGGTCTCCATCCTGCCCCATTTCCATGAATCCCTAGAGGATAATGCTGATTTACTCCCGTGTCTCCTTCTAGCTCCAATTCCATAATCATCTCTTAATTTTCTCAGTGTCCTTTTGTTTTAGGGCGTCCTTTATTTTCCAGATCTGGGTGTTCTGAGGAGCTGAACGTGGCTGTGCTGTGATGACAATCATCTGCAAACCCAGTTGCCATCAACCAGCTGGTTCTCACATCTATACGTACCCTTTTATACTTTGTTCAAGCCAATCTGAATTACATTTTGTTTTTAATGAACCTCTCCATGCTCAGCTCGAAATATACCCAGATTTTATAAATTAAGCTAGGGGCATATTTTGTGCTCCAGAACCTCAGAATGTCACAGAATGTTCGGGGTTGGAAGGGACCTCTGTGGGTCATCTAGTCCAACCCCCCTGCCCAAGCAGGGTCACCTACAGCAGGCAAACCTCCCTGCCAGGTTATGCAGCTCAGAACACGTCCCTCTGGAGTCTGCTTCTGGGGGGTTCAGGCCAGCACTCTCCCCACAATAAGGTGTATTTTATTAATCTGCTGTCACGCTGGTGCCTGCTAGGAAAACTTGTGAGTCCAAACATCCTCACGTGTTTCTGTTGTCTCTGCTCCTCCTGGTTGTTGGGCACTCACACCCAGACATCTCCTGGATGCCTCCAGGACCTTGTCCAGGCGGGTCTTGAATATCTCCAGAGAAGGAGAATCTACAACCTCTCTGGGCAACCTGATCCAGTGCTCTGTCACCCTCAAAGTGCAGAAGTTCTTCCTCATGTTCAGCTGGAACTTCCTGTGCTTCAGGTTGTGCCCTGGATCATGTCCAGAGAAGAGCAACGAAGATGGTGAAGGGTCTGGAGAACAAGTCTTACGAGGAGCAGCTGAGGGAGCTGGGGCTGTTTAGTCTGGAGGAGAGGAGGCTGAGGGGGGACATTATTGCTCTCTACAACTACCTGACAGGAGGTTGTAGTGAGACAGGTGTTGGTCTCTTCTCCCAAGTGATAGAACGAGAGGCAATGGCCTCAAGTTGCATCAGGGGAGGTTTAAATTAGACATTGGGAAAAATTTCTTTACTGCAAGAGTGGTCAGACATTGGAATAGGTTGCCCAGGGCAGTGGTGGATTCACCATCCCTGGAGGGGTTCAGAAAACATGTAGCTGTGGCACTTCAGGACATGCTTTAGTAGGCATGGTGGTGTTGGGTTGATGGTTGGACTTGATGATCTTAGAGGTTTTTTCCAACCTATGATTCTGTGATTCTATGATTCATGCAGCATCTGGTGTAACAAAGGCTCTGGGAAGGACCTTTCTCCTTCTGGGAGCATCATCTCTGAACCTCATGGTACAGGCCTTGCTCTACCTACAAATAAACAGCCAAATACGATGAAAGAGCAAAATCCGTCAGGAAGCGTCAGCTGCTCTTTTAAGAAGAAGGACCTGCACCGAGTTAGGGTGTGAAATGGGCTTTAACAGCAAGCTCAGCAGCAATCGTTTATTTGTGGCTTTGGGGCAAACCTGGTGATGGGGCAACGCTGATGCTTGGTGTTTAATAACGCATGTTTTGCGACCCACCTCATGCTCAACCCTCTCCTTCTGGTGTATCCACAGGTTTCTCCGTGGCACGTGCAAGAAGACAGACGGGACCTGTTCGTTTTCCCACAAGGTGTCCAAAGACAAGGTCTGTACAGCTTCCCAACAAGCGCGGTGCGGCTCTACGAGTCAGCGGACCTACGCTGGTGGTTCTTGGGAAGTCCACCTCGTTGAGTGCTTCCAACGGAGTTCGTTTGTAGTTTGCTTGCCAAGCTGTTCAGGCTTATGATGAGGTTGTGAGAGCTGAGCGTGCCTCTTCGGCCGGCGCGGTGACTCGGTAGATGTACGCATTAAGCAGTGGCTTGGAAACCAGAGCACCTGAGGCTGTGTCGGGTACGTGCGTTGGGTGAAGGAGAGCTTTAACTCCAGGGATCGGAGAGAAAGAGCATGGGAGTAGCGTTTAGGTGCGTTTAATCCTTAGCTACCTCTGTAAGTTCGCCCTTCCCTCTAAATTACCCTGTGCTGGGGTCGGAGGAGGAGGATGTTCTAACACACAAGAGCTTGGAGGTAGAAATTAACCTTTCGAAAAAGCCAGGCAGTGAAACCGGCTGGCAGAACGGCTTTTGAGTTCGTCATCGTTTTCAACCGTCTTGATCTATTTGGGGCTTCGTGGTTTTATTACACAGAGCGAGGTGGAAAAATAATTAGGTTTTCTTCTAGTGATTATCAGTTGACGATTTAGCAGATTAACCTCCATTCAGTGGCTGGGATCTCCGATCGGACGTAGCTTTGGAGACCTCAAGTGTTGAAGCCGAGGCGAAGTAGGTGCTGAAGGTGAAGTGCAGCCGCAGGTCCTTCGCTGAGCTGGGGATGTTCTTCGAGCACATATTTACATTTCAGCTTCATTGGACGGATTTGAAGGATCGTTTCTCTGCTCCAGACAAAGAATCACCCAGACAACAGCGTCCTGGTGGACGACAGGTTAACCATGAGCCAGCAGTGTGCCCTGGCTGCCAAGAAAGCCAATGGGATCCTGGGGTGCATCAAGAAGAGTGTGGCCAGCCTGACGAGGGAGGTTCTCCTTCCCCTCTACACTGCCCTAGTGAGGCCTCATCTAGAGTACTGTGTCCAGTTCTGGGCTCCCCAGTTCA